GCCTCCATGGAAGCAATGGAGAAGAGAATGACAGAGGCAATACAAGCCATGGGGGAGCAGATAGAAAAAACATTGGGGGACCAACTGGAGAAGCAAACTCAGATTCATCTGAAACATCTAGAAGAAGTCCAAGAGAAGAACATAACAGCATTGAAGGAATTGGTTACTACAGAAATAACTTCAATCAAGCAAGAAATGGAAGGAGTTAAGAAGGATGTTCAAGCAAATGCAACCAAGACTACAGAGACAGAGGAGAAGATACAAAAAATAGAAGAGAAACAAGATTCTTTGACTCAACAAATTACAAGATCAGAGACAATGATGGAGTTCAGAAGGATGCAGACTCATCTGAGATTCAGAGGCATTAAGGAAACAGAGAATGAGAACTTAAAAGAAAAAATGATGGAAGTGATAACGGCTTTTCTGGGCGAGGAGGAAGGGTCAATGGACTCAGACTTTGATTTGATTTATAGAGTGAACTCCAGAATTGCAGAAAAGAAGAATTTACCAAGGGATGTAATTGTACAATTTGTAACAAGATCAATAACAGAGGAGATATTCAAGAAGCAATTCAACGTCCCTTTTGTAATAGAGGGAAACAAAATTATGGTGATGAGAGAACTCCCAAGAACAATACTGCAAGACAGGAAAAGGTATAAATCCTTGGCGGACAAACTCAGAGCTTTGAGCATCAGATATAGATGGGAGATTCCACAAGGTTTATCCTTTACGTATCAAGGTGGGAGGATTCAGATCAGATCGATGATGGACTTTTATAAATTTAAGGCGGACAATGCGGACGTCTTTGGAGAACTTTAAAATAAAACGCATAATGGAGTACAAATTGTTGTCATGGAATGTTAATGGATTAAATTCACCAAACAAGAGGAAAAGAATCAATCATTGGATACAGAAACAGAAATGCAACGTGATATGCTTGCAAGAAACACATATTAGAAAACAGGATATAAAATATTTAAAGAATGCTTTATTTGGAATTGAATTTTGTTCTGCGGCCTCAAACAAGAAAAAAGGAGTTGTGACATATGTGAAGAAGGAGTTACAACCTACAGAAATTTTTAAGGACATAGATGGCAGATACGTGGGTGTGGAATTAATGATTCAGCAGAAAAAAACATTGTTGATCAACGTGTACGCACCCAATGGAGCAAAGGAAAAATTTTTTAAGGATATAACTGACCAATTACAACAATTGACTTATGAGCAAGTTATTATGGCCGGAGACTTTAATGGGACAATAGATCGTCTAGACAGAAAACCACAAAAGGACAACGAATTCAGCGGAAAATTGCCAAAGAATTTTTTTGAATTAGTTAAGCAAGAAAAATTAGAAGATGTTTGGAGGAAATGGAACCCGATGCAGAAAGACTTTACTTTTTATTCCAATAGACATTGCTCTTTTTCCAGAATTGA